GGTGACGGGGGGGGGGACCCCTTCATTGACGGTAAGTGTTGGAAGAGGACCCCCCGACTGCGAGTGAGCGATGGGGAAAGACTCATCCCTGGTTTTTAAATGTGTTATTGGCTGACAAGGTTTGGGGGAAGGTTGGGGGGGAGTCCAGATCTGTTCTTGGGTTGTTTGGATCCGGGCGTGGAACAGGATCTGGGGTCTGCGCAGTGTGATAAGAATTTTTGAGCAAGCTGTGGAGGTGGAGTCCACCGGACAATGTATAACGACATGATGCAAGCAGAGGGAGCATCAGGGAGCGGCTGCTGCGCTTTTGACTCCAGGCGTGGATCACCTGCTCAGCGCACTGGCAAAAAGCCCGGGGCAAGTTACGCAGAGAGGACACAGGGGCCCCTAAGGGCAGGATTTGGGTTTAAAGAGTTTTTTTAAAAGGGGGGGAGAGGGACCGAGGGTCAAAAACGTTTCGGGTGGAAAGACAGTACCAGGGTCAAAAAGGGAAAGCCACCGTAAGCTTAAAGTGCATGACATTGAACATTAATGGATTAGATCAGGAGAAAGTGGTAGGTTTATGAATATTTGGGGTAAATGTTGAGGGGTTTTTCGTGCAGGAACCAATACAGACCGGTTATGAGTTGAAGGTAAATGGGTATAATGTGTATGTGGAGCATGCGAAAAGGGTTTAAAAGGGAGGAGTTGCCCCCTGGAAAGGGGAAACTACCCCCGTTCGTATGAGGCTTTTGGAGGGGGGGGGGAAGGGGGGGTGATCGGTGGGGGTGGTGGGGTGGGGTAAAAATGATTTTGGTGTGTGTGTATGGTCCGCAGGGGAATGTGCGTATTAAAATAAATTTGTAAAGGAGTTTATTATTATTTGCGTGCTTTCCCGTGTGTAGCTTAATGGTGGTGTTTGGGAAATTGTGTGATAAGGCGTAAGGAGGGGAAACCCAAAAGGGGGGGGGGTATTGTTTGGGGTTTTTTGGGGGAATTATTAAAGGGAAAGTGGGTTAAGGGACGTTGGGGGGGGTGGGGTTGTAGAACATACTTTTTGTTAGACGGGGATTGGGCAAGACTGGATCGATTGTTTCCCCAGAACCGTAATAGTGAGCGAGTGCGTGTGGTGGACGCGGTTTTTTTGGGGATCCAGGGAGTAATGGTGGCCCTAAATGGGAGGGATTGCCTAAAAGGGGGTTCAAGGTTTTTGGGGAAGTTAAATGTAAATTTTTTGCAGGGTGGGGAATGTGTCAGTCTTTTGCGCAATTGTGGGAAGGGTTTGGTGGATGAGGGCCGGGGATGATGAACTGGTAAATTGGTGGGTTCGGGGGCTAAAAATCGTATCAGAGAAATTATATTTTGTCGTGGGAGGGGAAAATGGTTAAAGTATGGGTTTCAAATATCTTGAAGGGAAAGCTGCGGGGACTGTTATGCAAGGGGGAGGAGCAAGCTATCCGTGCAGGACATTGGGTTTAAAGGGAGTTTTTTAGGGTATTGCAAAACGAGCGTTTTATGGTGTGCGAATTTGGGGGGGTTTGGGAAGAAGTCTATGGGGTGCCCGGCCCGTGGTTGCTTTTAAGAGGCCAGGAAAGAGGAGGTGACAAAGGAGAGATGGGGTTTTAAACGTACATGTAGGGAGGGAAAGGGTATGAGCGGGTCAAGCATTGGTAAGACAGAGGGTATGGTGGTATGTAGACGCTTTTTAAGTCATATACGCAAAGTGTGGGCTTCGTGAGGGGGCATTGAGGGAATGGGAAGTATGTGCAGTGTGAGTTTGATGGTCAAGATCGGGTGCATTGGGTGGGCCGATTAGGGAGTGTGAGTTTTGGCAGGGTTGTCAGGAGTGAGTTGGGAAAAGCCCCGGGTATGACGGACTGCCAAATGATTTTCGTAAAGAATTGGGGGGGGTTTGAGGTTTTTTTTTAGTAAAGGTGTTTAACATACTTAAGGCGGCTGAGGTAAAGGGGGGGCAGCAACGGACGGCCGTTGTGGGGGTTGGTACCGAAAGGGGAGCAGTCAAGGGTAATGGATTATCGGGCACTTTCGCTTATGTGTGGAATTATAAATTGTTTGCGAGAAATTTGGGGAAAAGAATCAAGGGTAAAGGCAAGGTAATTTAAGGGGGGGAATTGGGGTTCAGAAGGTCGATTAGAAAGGGCATGGCATGATTCGGTTTTAGGAAACAGGGGGGGTTTGGGGGTGGAGGTTTTGGGTTAGATTGGAAGGCTCTTATGATAGTGTAGAAAGGGGAAGGGTTATGGAGGTTTAGCGTTTGGCAAGGGTTTTGGGAAAAATAAAATCTTGGGCAAAATTTTGTATCAAGGGGCATCGATAGGGTGGGTTAATGGGAGGCTAGGAGTTAAAATACGTGCGACGGGACTCGCCAAAGGTGCCCATATCACAAATATTGTTTGCGTTATACGGTCCTTTTATAGGGCCCTTCGGAGTGTTGCGGGGAGGGGGGGGGGTACACCGGGGGGAGGGGGGGCTGGTATCGTAGGTTATGTGGATGACACGATGTTTTGGGGGAGGTAATGGGGGTTTGTTAGGGGGGGTTAGGTGGTGGATGTGTTTGGGGAGGCTTCAGGTATGAAAATTAATGTTTTAAGGGGTAGTACAAATGGGGATGAGGTGGTAGGGGGTGGGTGGAAAGGTGGTGGATCAATAATATGTGGGATAATTTATGTGAGAAAACACGGGTGGCTCAAGGGTGAAATTTGGGGAGAATAGTGAATGATATTTAAAAAATTGGGGGTTTTTGGGGGGGCGCAATAAACGCTGCATCAAAGAGTAATAGTGACGAAGTGTATTGTACCAAGATATGGCATGTCGTTGTCATGTACCCGCATGAACGTGAGGGAACGTTTACAACAGGGGGTTTTTTGGTTTATATGGGGTCGGGGCTGCGAAAGCGGGACTTTTACCTCTGGAAAAAAGGGGTGATGGCGGTACCTAAAACGAAGTTATATAAGGGAGGGGGGCGGGGGGGAGGTGGATTGTGCGAGTACGTAAGGATATGCAACGGGGGGGGGGGGGGGGGTAGGGATTTATTTTGGGGGAGGCCATGTTAAGGTTATTAAAGACAGTGAGGGGGCCCTCGTGTGTTAAAATTTCGGGGCCCCGAAAGGGGTGGAAGGTAGGTCAGTGGTGGGGCTGTTGAAGGGCTACCTATGTATGCGTGGAACGAAATATGGACGCGTCTAAAAAATTACGTGTAAAAACCGGGTGTTCGGGAGGAATGTTTAGATTTTTTTCATGGGATTTTGCCCTCTGGGGTTGTCCTATTCAATAGGAGGATAAGGGGGAGGGGAATTTGCGTTGGGGAAAATGGGGACAATTTTGCATGCGGTATATTTTTTTTACTGTATGAAGTGGTCGGGTTGGTTAGGGAAAAAATGTTTAGGTTATGGGGGGGGAGGATTGCAGGGGTTGCGGACTTTAAGTTTATATAGGGGGGGTGAGTAAATGGTGGAGAATCGTGGGTATTTGGTCACGGATTTTATATATACGTATGGGCCCCGAGGGAGGTGGGGGGGGATGGAGGATAAAGGGTTAGCTGCGACATTTTACAGAACAAGTGTCGTAATAGGGGGGAAATTTTGGAGGGAGTTGGGGACTGCTTTTACTGAGGGCTTTCGGGTTTTCGGTTGAGGGATTTATGGGATTTGTGCAATGTAAGGGTCGCGGGGGCTGGCTTCCGATAAGGACAGTGTGAAAGGGTTTGTGTGGGAAAAGAATGTATAGACGAGACATAAGTGCCTTTTTATGATATGAGCGGGTTGTGTGTTGTGAACGATAAAGTACTTCAATTTAATTATTAGCTAATGACAAAGACGACAGAGGTTATGTATGGGAATATTATATATAAGAACATAAGACATAAAGAACGAAAGGAAAAACTGCAGAAGGCCTTTTGGCCCCTGCGAGGCAGGTCCCAAATCTCCTACGGGTTAAGCCAATCACCCAACCTAGCAGGTGGGGCACATTGATTAAAGGGGGGGAACACGGGAAACGCCTCTAACGAAAATTTTTGGTAGTGTGTAAGAAAAAGACAAAAAGGGTGCACTGTGTGAATGCGAAATATAATATACACATGAATATTTCGAGTGGGGGAAGGGGTTCAATATTTTTTCGAGTTGAAGGCATGCACTGTTAAGTTTTGTGGACGACTTAATCTTATAGTGGTTTTAATATATGGGCGAAAAATTTTTTGAAAGCTTGACTTATCCTGTTTTTTAATCATATTGTTTTTTCATGGGAGCTCTAAGAGCCCATAGGTTTGGTTTCCTTGAATTGATATATATTATAGGGAATTGATGGATGACACAGGATAGGTTTTTGTAGTTTCACTGGTTGTGTTGTAAAGGGGTTTTGTAAACATATTTAATATTTATACCTTCCTGGAGAAGGTATATGTTTGGGTGTTTAGTAGATTACTTGTACATAATCATGTAGAATGAATTTTATTATCTCAATACATTGGTATACTGAAGTATCATGTTGTTCAATATGGAATAATGCAAGTACAATATACAGTTACTTTTAAAGATTGTTTCGTGTCAGGTGGATTGACATTCCCAAAAAGGGGGGGGGTGTGTTTTGAATGTAAAAGGGGTACATTCCTGGCAGGTGTACAATGTAAGGTGTACATTCCGTGGAGGGGTACAATCGGAATGAGTTTCTTGCCCAAAGGGGTCTTTTGGGTTGTTTAGTGTTCCAGACATAAGTATTAACTTTAAGGTTGGAGTGGTCATTGTTTACTGTACAGTTTGCTTTAAAGTAATTTTAATTGGGGAAAAAAATGTATATGCAAATTTTTTTCACTGTTTTCACTATGTAATTGTCGTTTTTTTTTATGTACATGATGTCTTTTTAAAAAAAATAAAAAAAAAAAAATTAAAGGAATGTGTGATATTTTTAAAAGTTGCAGGGAATTTCATATTTTTCTGATGAGTGGAGGGGGATGGGTGCTGTGGGTCTTATCCGACGGGGGGTGTCTCAGTGTCAAAACCAGCATTTTTGCCCACGACATACCCTCCATGGCTCAGTATGTTGACTTGGTCAACCTAATGACCTACGATTTCTATGGCGCCTGGGACCCATTTACCCAGCACCAGTCTGGCCTCTACGCTTACCCGGGGGAACCCGGGGTAGCATCTACCTCACCCAGGTACCCACTTGTTGCAACCTCTCCAGCAACATTTCTACCAATATGTAATCCGATTACAGGTTTCCTTACTCTTGTGTTGGTGTGATTTTGTAAATGGTCCAAGTCGGACCTTCTCTCTCCTTTGCGGGTTATTTGTGTATTGTGCTTTTTGGTTCTTTTAGTATATTAGTTATTTAACTTAAGTAACTAGGATTCCAAAACCGGGTAGTTGGGTTTAAAGCCTATCGACTCAAAAGGGTCATTAACGCTAATATTATCACCTGTTTACCACCTATGAAGAATACTTTAATTCTAAGTATTGGCTTATTGGGATTGAAGTCAACTTTAAGTCAACATATACACCTCTCAGTATACACCTGTCACATTACTGATATTTAGGTGTAAATGTTGTCAGTATAATAATGCTATCTTAGGGAAGAAGTATTGTCAGTATAAAAATGCTATCTTAGTGAGTATTGTTAGTATAATACTGTTATCTTAGGGAGTATTGTCAGTATAATACTGTTATCTTAGGGAGTATTGTCAGTATAATACTGTTATCTTAGGGAGTATTGTCAGTATAATACCGCTATCTTAGGGAAGAAGTATTGTCAGTATAATTCTGCTATCCTAGTGAGTATTGTCAGTATAATACTGTTATCTTAGGGAGTATTGTCAGTATAATGCTGTTATCTTAGGGAGTATTGTCAGTATAATACTATTATCTTAGGGAGTATTGTCAGTATAATACCGCTATCTTAGGGAAGAAGTATTGTCAGTATAATTCTGCTATCCTAGCGAGTATTGTCAGTATAATACTGTTATCTTAGGGAGTATTGTCAGTATAATGCTGTTATCTTAGGGAGTATTGTCAGTATAATACTGCTATCTTAGGGAAGAAGTATTGTCAGTATAATTCTGCTATCTTAGTGAGTATTGTCAGTATAATACTGTTATCTTAGGGAGTATTGTCAGTATAATACTGTTATCTTACCAGGAAACTACCTGGAGAGAGTTCCGGGGGTCAACGCCCCCGCGGCCCGGTCTGTGACCAGGCCTCATGGTAGAACAGGGCCTGATCAACCAGGCTGTTACTGCTGGCTGCACGCAATCCAACGTACGAGCCACAGTCCGGCTGGTCAGGTACCGACTTTAGGTGCCTGTCCAGTGCCAGCTTGAAGACAGCCAGGGGTCTATTGGTAATCCCCCTTATGTGTGCTGGGAGGCAGTTGAACAGTATCGGGCCCCTGACACTTATTGTATGGTCTCTTAACGTGCTAGTGACACCCCTGCTTTTCATTGGGGGGATGGTGCATCGTCTGCCAAGTCTTTTGCTTTCGTAGTGAGTGATTTTCTTGTGCAAGTGTCAGTATAATACTGTCATCTTAGGGAGTATTGTCAGTAAAATACTGTTATCTTAGGGAATATTGTCAGTATAATACTGCTGTCTTAGGAAGTATTGTCAGTATCTTCGGAAGTATTGTCGTACCTCTTCTTCAAGCTATGTATGTATCCTACCTCCACTACTACACTCCTAAATATTGAACCTGTCAAAATCTGATGCGATTAGTTATTTAAGGGTAAGCTCTAAACCCACAAGGGGCATACAGTGCCCAGAGGAACACAAGGTAATCAGGTGTGATCTGAGGATTGAGAGCCCTGCACGGGCATCGAGGTTGCTTGGTGACCTATCATTAACAGGCAATTATAGACGCTACTTGCAAAATTATAATTGTTTTGATTATATTGAGATGATTATGCTATCCATAAGATAGCAGTAATTTAGTTATAAAAAGGTTATATGAAGTTAGTAACTATAGTTAAAATAGTAATGATAATTTTAATGATAAAAATTTATCAATATTATTAGTAGTATTTTGGTAATTATCAGTGTTTTAGTATAATTATTAGTATTATAGTAAAATAATAATATAAAAATAATAATCAGTATTATTATTATTATTATTATATTTACGGGGAAGTGACAGACCCGCATGGGTGATGCAGCACCTGTGGAAAACGAGAAGCAATTAGATTTGATCCAAGGAAATGGATCGCTCCACTCCGCTGGTTGAAGATCCCATCAACAGTGTCAGGAAATCGTACAACTGAACGGTCTTAGTGGATCGTGAATCATGATGCCTATTGTCTTTCTGACAATGATTCATTTCATTATTTACGTAATTAAAGAGTGATGTTTTATGATTAATACTATGGCAGAATGAATGGTTGGTCAGTGGGGTTTCAACCCTATCAACTGCACGAAATTTAAGGCATGTAACATTTTCACCACTCGACAAGAATACTTTATGCGCTAAAATTGAGTTTAAAATCAATTTTCAGTGTATATACACTGAGACATATACACCTCTCCATGTATATATCATGTGCCAGGCCAAATGGAATCTTTTATTGGGGTTAATATTAAGTTTAGGTCCTACTTTTTTTAGGTTGTAATTATGTAAATTCTTCAATATTATTTGGGTTGTGCAGTGGAAACAGTTATGCTTTGGACCTCTGGAAATATTTTTTTTATAGCGAAACCTAAAAAAATAGTAATCCAACCTACCCTAAATTAACCTAGACCAGTAGTTAAATTTAGGTTAGGTGTGATTACCAAAAAAAAATGTTTTTTCTCCATTATCACAAAATATAATTAGCCCTAATGAACAATCTACTTAATATTGGAAAATGTACATAAACACACCGGGACTTACTCATTATTAAGACAGTGTTGTATTTATTATTTTTTTTTTACCTATACCTCCCTAATGTCTTTTTAATAAGCTACTTGGCTGCACAATCTCTGCCCCAGTAAACTTAATGAATTTCTTTCAATGCAGAACTTCTCCGTGAATTACTGGATCGAGGGAGGGATGCCAAGTACCAAGATCACACTGGGTATTCCATTGTTCGCCCGCTGCTGGTCCCTGGACAGTGAAACTGTCAATGGCTACTATGCACCAGCTCAGAATCCTGGCCCAGCTGGACCTTACACTCAGACACCTGGCTTATTGGGCTACAATGAGGTAATTACTTTTTATCTTTGGTAGGTAAGACACATAGGCAACAGTTGGGCAACTTTATTCCGAAACGTTTCGCGTACACAGTAGGCTTCTTCAGTCGAGTACAGAAAGTTGGCAGGAGCAGCAGAGATGTGAAAACGATGTAATCAGTCCATCACCCTCAAAGTCGTAGATGGACTGATTACATCATCTTCACATCTTTACTACTACTGCCTACTTTCTGTACTCGACTGAAGAAGCTTACTGTGTAGGCGAAACGTTTCGGAATAAAGTTGCTTATGTGTCATACCTACCAACCTGTCGGTATTGTATACCATTTTGATACTTTTTAGCGTGACTAAGCTGGTGAAAAAGTAATAATATATTATATTTATTGAATATATGTTGTGAATATAATCTCATGGGTCAATGGTAGAGCATTTAGATCACAACCGAGAGGATTGGAGTTCGAATTCTGGGGCGAGACAATTGGAGAAGTCTCCTCACTGCTTCTCTTTTACCTAGCAGTAAACATGCACCTTGAAGGAAGGACAATAGAAAATAAGCCACATGCATAAGGCTAATAAACCCAAGAGTCTTATTCTATTTGTTTGTATTTAAAATGCTTGTAACCTCGCTAACACCAACATAATGCTCTTGATCCACAGCTTTGTGACCTCATCAACAAAAACAGTTGGCCTGTGTTAGTGGCGGAAGGATGCAACGAGCCTTACACTTACTCCGCTGCCTATCAAAAGATCTGGTGTTCCTTTGAGAACCATGACTCAGTTGCTATCAAGGTGAGGGACGCCCCTGTACTCCTTAGATTGGGTAAGGTTCGTCAGGAAACAGGACAAGTGCTTTCAGACGCTGGTCTTAGTCATATAATGACCTGCAGCTGGAGCTTTTGGTCATCTGACAGGCCTTCCGCTAGCTTACTCCTCCACCCTTTTAAAAAATTATAGCTATAATTATAGCCATTAAATGATACCTGTTCTCTTTACATGTACGCACGATAACAATACATACCAGTGCCCTTTTATATACAGTGAAAACAGTTGTTTTCGACTTATATAAAGTTTTATTTGTGGTTATAAATAAGTGAAACCTAGCTTAGAATTTGCATAAGCATTAATGGATGTATGTGACAAAATATTTGTTTACATAACTATGTATGCTATGAATTGTTAGCATTTACTTAAATGTGACAAATCTTGACATAATAGTGCAATATTTTGGTGCCAGTGCTCTAAATTTTAAAATATTGCTGTTGCAGGCCCAGTACGCCAAGGATAACAATCTGGCAGGGCTGATGGTATGGAGTCTCGAGACTGAGGACTTCCATGGTTACTGCTCTTCACGACCATACGATCTCATCAAGACTATGAATGAGGTCTTCGATGCTTAAGACAACAACACCGCTGCAACGGTGACTACATCCTTTTTATTATTATTGTTTCCCTCAAGGAAGGTTCCTTGACACTGGTGAGGGGCTCTTGATCTGGGGAATTGGATCTGCTCCAGTTCCCTGAATTGAGCCTGGATACCTTCCATGTCATCCCCCATCCCCACATGTGCTGTATAATCCTACTGGTTTAGCGCTCCCCCATGATTATATTATTGTATTAAAGTGTTAAGCCCGCATGTCACATTCCAGATCCAATTCCCTAGATCAAGAGCCCCTCACCAGCATCAAGGAACCTCCCTTGAGGGGTTCCTTACACACCAGGGGTTCCTACCAACTAGGAGAGAGAGCGGGTCGCAGGGTGATGACTCCCCACACCCATTAACATACAACACAGATGTACATCCATTGCACATTGGCATTTCTCTACCTTTATAAACAGATTTATGTATATACACATCTCTTAATATAAAAACTAAGTTCACAATAGATACATACGTTCAACTAAACATTTCTCAAGGTTAATATTTATGCAGCATCTGATGTAAGAGTGTGTATTGACTGATATACTCACCTGGTTGTGGTTGCAGGGGTCGATTCACAGCTCCTGGGCCCCGCCTCTTCACTGGTCACTACTAGGTCACTCTTCCTGCTCCATGAGCTTTATCATACCTCGTCTTAAAGCTCAGCCACACAGTGGATCCTGCCTCCACTATATCACTTCCCAGACTATTCCACTTCCCAACAACTCTGTGACTGAAGAAATACCTCCTAACATCCCTGTGATTCATCTGAGTCTTCAACTTTCAACTGTGACTCCTGGTTGCTGTGTCCCATCTCTGGAACATCCTTTCTGCCTTGTCGATTCCTCTCAGTATTTTATGTCGTTATCATATCTCTCCTGTCTTCCAGTGTAGTCAGGTCGATTTCCCTTAACCTCTCCTCGTAGGACATACCCCTTAGCTCTGGGACTAGTCTTGTTGCAAACCTTTGCACTTTCTCTAGTTTCCTTACATGTTTGGCTAGGTGTGGGCTCCAAACTGGTGCTGTATACTAACATACACAGTGTACAGGGTCCCTAACGATTCCTTATTAAGATGTTGGAATGCTGTTCTTAGGTTTGCTAGGCACCCGTATGCTGCAGCAGTTATTTGGTTGTTGTGCACCTCAGGAGTTGTGCCCAGTGTTATACTCACCCCAAGATCCTTTTCCTTGAGTGAGGTTTGTGGTCTCTGCCCCCCCCCCAGACTGTACTCCTTCTATGGTCTTCTTTGCCCTTCCCCAATCTTCATGACTTTGCACTTGGTGAGGTTGAACTCCAGGAGCCAATTGCTGGATCGGGCCTGCAGCCTGTGTATGAGTGTATTGACTGGTGTGTAAGAAGGCTGGTTTAAGACGGAGGGCACTCATTGGTGTATAAGTGGGTATACTGTCTTGTGTATGACGAGGGAGTGTACTGTCTGCTGTATGAGGGTGTACTGTCTGCTGTATGAATGTACTATCACTATTACTCAGTATCAATATCTTGTCTAATTTTATATGAATTTTATTTTATAGTTAGCCATGAATTTTTAATTAATTTTTTATATAATTAATGTAATTCCTCTTAAAATAATCCATGCAATATAATACCTGAAATGTAGTCCCTGGAATACAATCCATGTAATATATTTGTGTTCATGCAATCCTTGATCCCCAGTTGAGAGAAGTAATATTTCTTATCTTTTTTTAGTACTGATGATGGCACTACTTTGTTTCGACTCGACTGAAAATTAATAGCATTCTCGTCTTATTCATGGAGAAGTGTCAAAACCTTAGGGGGTTCATACAGCACCTTATTTCAATAAAGATTAATCATCGCCTCATCTTTAATAATATCCTTCATTGCCAACATTAGTGTGAGAAATTATGCGGTAAATTTTACAGGCAATGTCCCATAATTGTGAAGAAACTTTGGTACATCAAACAGTTTACACTGATATTGATGTACCTCAGAGTCAAGTAGGACTTTAAAGGCCACCAGGTCACAATATCCCTCCTTCGTGTCCATCTTCTCAGTTCATCACATCTCATACGTCTGGACCTTAAATTATTAGAACATGTAGTTCTTAAAATTATTTGAAAAATTATACCAGTAACACAGATATATTTGTGAACTGTATATTCAGTAATATCAATTACATACTTGACCTGAGTAATTTGCTTGGGAAATTTTACATATATACATGTATAAATGAATTACATTAAAAAAGTAGTATAAAAGAGATTTCAATATAACTCGCCAAATTAAGATTTGGCGTCATATCCTAACTCTCCCTTTTGGCAGGCAATTTATATTGTTGGCCTGTACAATGACTTAACAGACTGTAAATGATGAACTAGTAAAAATATCTACTTGGATGACTACCAACAAGTTTACTTACAATATAGACAAGACCTACTTCATGCTATGTGGAAAAAAGAACTTCAAATGTACAGCTAAACAGTGATAAATGGTTCACCCATTTCAAGACAGAGGACAAATATCTAGGTCTCCACCTTGACTCCAGACTCAAATTCCAAACCCACATACAGCAAATATCCACGAGCCTCCAAAACAGTTGGCATCCTATCAAAAATATGGTACTATGTACCCCAAACAGCTCTTCTTGCTCTTTACCACTTTCTCATTTACCCTTATCTCACCTATGGTATTTGTACATGGGGCTCCACCACAGCAAGTCACCTTGAACCTTTAATAACCCAACAAAAAGCTGCAGTGCAATTGACTACTAACTCCTGCACTAGACAGCACACTCCACTGCTTTTCAAGTCTTAACTTGCTTAATATACAAAACATCCACACTTATTGTCTACTACATACACAGAACACTACACTCAAATATTAACCCTCCTCTCAAATACCTCCTTGATAACTATAACAGAACACACAGCCATAATACGAGACAAATCACTCTTCGATACACGTGTCCATCTCTCCCTGTGCAAAAATGCTATGCACATAAAGAGCCTGAAGATCTGGAATTCATTGCCAGAACACATTAAAGGATGCCTGCCTACAAATCAATTTAAGGCCCTGCTTAGATTATTATTATTATTATAATCAAGGGGGAAGCACTAAACCCATAGGATTATACAGCACCTATGGGGGGATGGAAGGCATTCAGGCTTAATTCAGGGAACTGGAGCACAGATCCAATTCCCTAGATCAAGAGCCCCTCACCAGCGTCAAGGAGCCTTCCTTGAGGGGGGCCCTGCTTAGAAATCACCTCATCACCCAAAATTAACCAGACAAACACTTTACTTAATACCTAATAGTTACCCAAAAGCTACTCAAAAAAAACTAAATAATTTAAGACTTCTCAACTATTGGATAATTTACCTCGAACTTAAAACTTTCAATTTCATTTTTGTATATTGCTGAAGATTGCTCATCCATTTACTTATAACTTCAAACTTGTTTCAATATCATTATTTTAAAATGTACTAAATTGTAATACTTCATATTGTAAATTGTTTCAACTTTTTCTAAATTCTCATACTGTACTTTTTTATAAACTGTATCAAAACTGTAATTATATACTGAACTGCTTTACTAACCTTATTAAAGTCATATAGCACTACCTAACAGAATACTCCATTCTCTTGTACTCACTAACTCGTCTAATGACCATAGGAACTGTTAATGCCTTACTAGTTTTACGTTAATTTTAAGTTTGCCTGAAATGCTCTTCATACAAAGGAGCTTTTGGCATGTACACCCAACTATTATATTCCTTTGGACAACCATGTATACCTGGAGAGGGTTTCGGGGGTCAATGCCCCTGCGGCCCAGTCTGTTACCAGGCCTCATGGTGTATCAGGGCCTGATCAACCAGGCTGTTATTGTGGTATGTCAAAATAAAATCATTATTACAAATTAACATACCTGTAGTGAGAATTAATACTCTGGGAGGCATACATTACGTGGCGTAAACTTCATCAATTTCTGACGATACTGCTGTTATTACACCTTAGTTGATTTCACTGGAAGATTCGACCGATTTCCAAATTCTGAGAGAGCCGACACTGTCTCTCAAGATGGCTACCCGGGCATTACACCCAATTCAGTTTTGCTTTTATGACCTCTGCCCTTGGGTCAAATAGTTGAGCCCAGCAGTCAACCTTCTACACCCATGTCACCACCACTGCCTTGCCCTCTTGCCATCTACGCAACCCACCTCCCCCACTAAGTTGGAAGCACTCACTCGCTCCCTTCCTCACTGGTAGTTTGGTAGTTTGTGACTACCATTAATAATATTTACATTACATTATGTTAACACTTCACATACACATTACTAATTATAGGACAATTAAATTTTCCACTATTAGTATGAAATGTGCATGTGGTGGCCTGGTGGTTAACGCTCTCGCTTCACACGGTGAGGGCCTGGGTTCGATTCCCAGCCAGAGTAGAAACATTGGACGTGTTTCTTTCCACCTGTTGTCTATGTTCCCCATCAGTAAAATGGGTACCTGGGTGTTAGTCGACTGGTGTGGGTCGCATCCTTGGACACTGACCTAAGGAGGCCTGGTCACAGACCGGGCCGCGGGGGCGTTGATCCCCGGAACTCTCTCCAGATAAACTCCAGATAAACATGTACATGTATATGGCTTTAGAAAAGGTTATGATAAGGTAGATAGGGAGCAATGTGGCAGATGTTACAAGTGTACGGAATAGGTAGTAAATTACTAAATGCTATAAAGAGTTTTTATGAGGATAGTGAGACTCAGGTTAGGGTGTGTGTAGGAGACAGGGAGATTACTTTCCAGTAAAAGTAGGTCTTAGACAGCAATGTATAATGTCACTATGGTTGTTTATAACATATTTATAGATGGGGGTTATAAAAGTACTAGTAGTAAACGCTAGGGTGTTGGGGACGGGTGGGATTAAATTATGGAAAATCGGATACAAAATGGGAATTGACAGTTAATTTTTGCTTTAAGGCAGAGTCCTCTATGACATCTTGAGAGTTATCCTGGGTTAGTAACCCTCCAGGTTAATAATACAAACAGAACTAAGCACTAAACCCACAAGGGTCACATAGATTATTATTATTATAATCAAGGGGGAAGCGCTAAACCCGGAGGATTATACAGCAAGGGTCACATAGAGATGTCTCCAAGTTAATCTGAATTAAATCATCTGCTTCACACCAGTCATTACTCACTAAAACACTTAACTATTATTGTATTCAATGAAAAACACAAACTGTTTAAGGATCATACAGTGCTTCGAAGAATTAGGCAGTCAATTTCATTCCAAAGAAATGGATAGGTCTAATTACCTGGAACAAGTCCCCCACCAGCATCAAGGTCCCTCCATTTGTGGGAATGTAACAAAGTAGACACATTCACTGTCACTCATTTCAGCATCTGTCTTGCTGTGTATGGACATCACATATCAAATGACTCTCCGAACTGCAACATCAACCTATCCTTCGATGCACTGAAATTCTTAATACATATAGTTTAATCCTTGGAAAGACCAGGAGACATTGTATGCAAATTTGAATTTACAGCACTGTGCAGACTATATTAAAACAAGCACATTGTAAATTATATATAATTATGGGAGTGCTAAACCTGTAGGGATTATACAGTGCCTGTGGGAGGGGGAGATGGAAGATATTTTGGCTTAATTCGGAGAAATGGAGCAAAGATCCAGTTGCCTAGATCAAGATTGATTATAGTGTAATCAAAACTAAGCACTAAACCACCAGGGCCATACAAAGCTGCTCTAGATCAAGAGCCCCTCACCACCAGCATCAAGGAACCTCCCTTGAGAGATATAATTTAGAAAAATTGAACTCACAATATAAAAATCTTATTAGCTAAATCTCAATAGTCTTTTAGACTTAAATTTTCACCTAACCTAAGTAATTTTTTAAGCCTTGTGAATATAATCACTAGCAAATATTTGTATATTTGGGTTTATTTAAACACACACACATTGTTTTCAAAAATACATTTATTATAAAATATCGAAATTAATTTTGTATGGCCATGTAGAATTTTGGTTTACTAGTATTACTAAAAAAAATTAACAGGAAAAAAACACTTGGTGCAGGCCTTCTTGACACTATTGCACAATGCAATTCAATTTATTTTTAACAAAAATAAATAGTACTGTACCTACAGTAATTCCCAGCATTTCTAAATCACTACATAAAAATTATCAGCAATATTTTTTAAGTTATGTGTATGGTATACAGAATTATACATTTTTTAAGTTGCTGCATCTACAGTAAAGCCTCCATATTCACAAGTTACATTTCAGGAAAATGTTTCAAATATAGAATTTATGAATAGAGGTATAGTATTTTGGTTCAATATAAAAAAGTATTGTATGTTAGGTTACCTAAACAGGTCAGACTGAACATAAATAGGTAATGATATACTATACTTAAAACACAATTATACATTCTTACTAGATTATTATCATACATACTAAGCCTAAACTCACATTCCTACTAGAACATTAATTATAATACTGTAA